ATACTTCCATGCCTGCGCACATGCATGCACACTATATGCAGATACACATGCAAAAAATTGGATAGTACCACTGAATAACAAATAAATGACCTTTACTTTGGGAAAAAAATATAATGATCAAAGCTGGTACTAAAATTTTCCACACATTGGTATTAATTGACAATGTTCTGGGAAAGAATGTGCAAATATTATTCAAGAACCATAAGAAGTTTGTACCCTATGATCCACATCAGGAACTAATATTAAGCCAATTATCCAATTTAAAGGAAAAAATTTTGTATAAAGTTTTTTCGTGTTATTTGTAATATTTAGAACCTAAATATTCAACAATGACCAAAACTTATTTCTCAAGAAGTTAATAAAGGGGCTGGAGAGATAGCCCAGCTTTTAAGAGTACTGTCTGCTCTTGCAGAGGATTTGATTCCCAGCATCCACATAATGACTAACAACCACTCAAAACTTCAGTTCCAGGGAATCCAACATTCTCCTCTGACCTCTGTGGGCATTGTACAACTTGGGGGCATTTATATACATGCAGGTAATACACTTATACACATAAAATAAAAATAAAAGAGAAGCCAATAAAACTGCATGCAGTAAATAAAGTTTAAAAATAGGCCTAAGTTTTAGGGGAAGGAAAATATTAAGTGCTGAGTTTTAGAGTGACAGAAATGTGGGACTTTCCAATGCTACAAATAGCACACAACCGTCATATACCATTACCACTAGCACTCCTCAGTTAGAAATAAAATAAAAATGGTACAAAAGAAAGATTTTATGTGTATGAGTGTATTACCTGCATGTATGCAAGTGTACATGTGTTGTGCACTGCCTATGGAGGTCAGAGAGAGTGTTGGATTCTCCTGGAACTGGAATTACGGACAGTTGTTAGCTTCCATGTGGGTGCTTGGGAATCAAACCCAGGTCCTCTGCAAGAGCAGCCAGTGCTCTTAACTGCTGGGCCATCTCTCCAGCCTTGGAAATAAGATCTTTTCAAATATGAAGCACAGTATAATAGGCAGGAGCTCTGTGCCTTGTGAACCAGGTAATCTTGGGAAGGTTATTCTATTCTTGGGCTTCAGTTTAATCATAAAGAGGAGCTACACATAGTATCTGCGCTACAGTCTTGCTATGAGAATTTATTCAGATCTATTGTTTTGTTTTTGAGACTATGATTTGCTAAGGTACACAGGCTTGTCTGAGACTCACCACCATGCCCATAAAACTTTGTGTGTGTGTGTGTGTGTTATATGCATGTACACTTGTACATGTGTGGCAGAGGTTGACATTGAGTGTCTTTATCATCTTCCACCTTATTTTTTTTGGGACAAGGTCTCTCACTGAACCTAGAGCTTACCAACTTGGCAAGACTAGTAAGCCAGGGAACTCTAGGGCTCCTCCTTGCCTCCACTTTTCCAGCACTAGGATTATAGGTGTTCTTCATCATGCCTGGCTTTTTACATAGGCATTGGTGATCCAAACTTGGATCCTCATACTTATGCAGCAAGTACTTTACTGACTGAACCATCTCCATAGGCAAAGGATTATATATTTTACTTTGTAAAGGGTTTCAAAAATTCTGGCAGAGCCTGGCATGATGGTGGTACGCCTGTGATCCCAGCACTCAAGAGGTAGAGGCAGGAGAATCATGAGCTCAAGGCCAACCTAGGCTACATAGGTCCAGGCCAACTTGAATTATGCACATAGCAAGATCCTATTTCCAAAGAAAGAAAAGGAAGAAAGGAAAGAAACAGAAAAGGAAAATAAAATGCTGGCCACAGAAGCAAACGGACCTAAGTTAGATCTCCAGCACCCACGCAGAGAAGCTCTGTGTAATCTTCCATGTGTATAACTACAGTACATGATAGGTGGAGCCCCAGAGCCCATGGCTAGCCAGTCTACCCAATCAGTTACTACAGGATTCAGTGAGAGCCCCTGTCTCAGAGAAAAAGTTGGAGAACAACCCAGGAAGCCTCCAGACAGCAACTTTGAATCTCTACATGCACATGCACATATATGTGCCCCCACACATGCAAGCATGCATAGACATAGGCACACATACCACACACACTAAAAAAGTTCCTGGCAAAATATTGAGTATATATAATATAGCCTTTGTTACATGTATAAAATAGTGAACAGATGGGTAAAAGGGAGGGGAATTTAGCTCTTTAGAGAATCCGTATGAAAGCTGGCTCATTGTTGATTTTATATTCCTAACTTGTTGGGACAGACTTACTACAAAGTTTAGGATCTGCTACTTGAAGAATCAAGGAAACCAGGTCAATGGAACCTTTGGATAGAAGCCAGAGCTAAGGAACAAGAGCAGCTACAGTATTCCCTCAAGAACTTAGCAGACTGGCTGTTGACACAGACTGGGAACCAAGATAATAGCCTGACAGGCTTACAGTAACCAGGACTTCTTAAGTCACATATCAGTCAAGCCTTGTAGTGAACTGGTTTTGATAATTTTCAGAATGAGAAGGACTGTTAAGAAGGGACAGGAAGAAGTGCTAATTATTTTTGCAACAGTGTAGGTGTCTCACATAGAAATGTAAGCCATGGGCCTTGGGCATTTTCTTACCCAAGGAGCTAAATGGAGTTTGACTCAAGTGACAGATATAGAATCACATCAGAGGAGATGCTAGTAAAACACATCAAGGAACTGACCCATTGTTATCGATCCCTCATCGCAGTTGTAGCCAGACTGCAAGTCAATAATTCGGCAAAAGAACAAAAAGGATTTGCCTTTGACTGAGCATCTGTTAAATATCAGGCACGATACTAGGAATTTCATTACTACAATCTCTGGCCTTCATGATATCATGTACTAAGCATTGTCCCCACTGACTGAGGGGCTCCGAGAAGTCATTTAGCTCCTATAAGTGGTTCAGTTCCATTTAGGTTGGTATGTATCCCAAGCTCTCACAAGCACTTCTACAGAAGTGGCCAGGATTTTTAAAAATTAACAAGTCAATCACACACTTTAGAAGTTGTAAACTGCAAGCCTGCATATGTCTGGGTAGTCTGGCTTTCCCACAGCTTCTCAGGGAAACTGAGCAAATGACACCATCTCTCCAATATCAATTCATTCATCTAAAAATCACTTGAATTGTATTGTCTCTGAATTCATATGTTGAAGGAATAGCTCCCAATGTAACATGTAGTATGGGTGTAGGCTTTTTTTGTTTGTTTGTTCGTTTTTGGTCTTTTTGAGACAGGGTCTCCCTGTAGCCCCAGCTGTCCTGGAACTCACTGTGTAGACCAGGCTGCCCTTGAACTCATAGAGATCCGCCTGCTCTGCCTCAAAAGTGCTGGGATTAAAGGTGTGTGTCACCATGTCCGGCCAGGATGTAGGGTTTTAGCAGGTAATTAAGGTTAAATGAAGTTCAATGAGTTGGCCCAGGCTGGGTGTGATAATGTACACCTGTAATATCAACACTCAAGGGACTAAAGCAGGAGGATCAGGAATTTAAGGACATTCTCCTCTACAGAGCAAACTCAAGGTCAGCCTAGGCTACAAGATCCTGTTGTAAAAAACAAAACAAGACAGAAAACAACATCAGGCTCCTAATCCAATAGGACTGTGGCCTTATAAGAAGCGGAAGCCTGCCAAGCCATGGGGCTGGCAGTAAGGAGGAGACTGGCTGCCCACAAAACAGAAGGGCTTCCTTACCAGAACTTCATCCTGTCTTCACCCTGACTGCAGACTTCCGACCTCCAGAGCAGTCAGAAAATCCATTTATGTTGTTTACTGTGCTGGGTCATTTAGTTACGGCATCCCCAGCCAAAACAGGCACACTCCCAACTAAGAATCACTGAACTACACACTGTCCAAGTATCTTCCAGCTCTTGTTAGATGTTCTCCAACATTGTAGATAGAAGGATATAGCATTTGTTACATATGTAAAATAGTGAACAAATAAAAGTTCACACAGAAATGTTAAGGAGGTAAAGAGGTAGTCCAATCAGTTTAAAAAGAAGTATACAGGCTGGAGAGATGGCTCAGCAGTTAAGGTACTGAATGCTCTTGCAGAGGACCTGGGTTTGGTTCCAGCACCCACATGTGGCTAACAACCATCCATAACTCCAGTTCTAGGGGAATACGACACCCTCTTCTGACCTTCACTGGCACTGCACTTAAATACATGCAGGCTGTACACTCATACACAAATTAAAATAAAATAAATAAAAAACGCAGTATACAAGCTCAGCAAGGAGTACAGAAACAAAAACAATGAAGAAGAGCAGTGAATCAAAATTCTTTCAACATATTCCACTTCTGTTTTTCAATAACTGTTCTTTTTTTCATGCAATATATTTTTCGGTTTCAATGTACATTTTTGTTTACTTTATGGAACATAGCGAAACAAGGGGTAGAGGGAATACTAATGGATCTCTCAACTCTCACTAGCAAAGTTTCCTCATGCAACAGATTAGAATGCACACAGAAGGCCACAACTGACCAAAGTGCAAAGAATACAAGACTGCAGAAAGTGTGTCCCTGGATAGGACCCATATCAAACCTCACCCACCTATGGCTCAGGGACCATCTCAGAAGAGGGAGCAGAAATATCGTAAGAGCCGGGGGTGATGTATGATCAATAACTGTTCTTGACTGATTCTCTTAACTTATTTTACTTTCCAAAAGTCTCCTAGCAGTCAGCGTTCCTATGGAAACCAAGGGAGGCTACAAAGTACTATGCATGTCCATGAGTCTTATACTGGAAGCTGCCTTAACTTTCCTTGTTTAACTTCTTGGTCTCCTAAATCTATTTGTTTAAACAAATAAAACCCAGCAGAAGTTTGTTCTTTGACTCTGACTTATTTCCAGAACTGCCTGACTACTATTTGGGATAAGAAGTCACAGGGCCTTTGTTACCACAGAAGTCCTTTCTGAAAACAGTGTTTGTTGTCGTCTGGATTTATTTTTTATTTGATTAATGAAGCCTACCTCGTGGCAATGATTCTAATTGGTCTTCATTTTCAATGCTTCGTACCTGTTCAATGAAGAGGTTGCAAAACTCTTGCAACAGAACTATAACCCGAGCAGGAGTATTATAAAACTTGGAATGACTCCAGATAAGACAGACGGTGTGAAACAGTGGAGCGATTAACATGCGGGTCTGTGGGAATTCTGTCTCCTGGAGACCTTGAATGTGCTGCCTCAGAGGTCTCAGGTGAAGTTCCACATCTTGGGCTTCAAGGAGAGCTGAAAAGACAAGTGCAGGTCAGGTCACACAGCATCTTTCTTGCTAAACTCACTTTACAAGTTCAAGGGAGAAATGTCAAAAAAGACAGCTGTACTTAAATGTTGCCATCTTTCCCATCCTAGCACTCACCCAACAGTCTCCACATGAGCAAGTCTGGAAGGCTGCAAACTGCCCATTTGTAACTCAGTCACCCTGGAGAGCACTGATCTAGTTACTCACAGAGCATAAGTAATTGTGGCTGAAGACCCGGGGGAAGGAAACCTCTAGTCTGAGGAGAGCTATTCAACCCTGTGGAAACCCTGTGGGAATAAAGTATCTGTGCTGTCGTCACTTCATGGCTTGGATTACAAGCTTCTGTGGAATGCGCAGTTCTCTGCAATGCTTACTACAGGCACAACTAACTTGCTGGCTCACGCCAGTTTCCTGTGAGAATCACTGGTGTGAGGAATAGAGAACTGTCTCTTACGTTATTACCTACAACTGTTAAAATTATTAGGTATGGCGATGAAGATATTTTGAAACTGGGTGGAAGGTATGGTTATACAATGCCATGACTGATATATCACTAAACATCACTGGATAATGGCTAATTTTAGGTGATTCTTTATCTCAATAAAAATTATGTTAATCATGTAAGAATAAGGATTTTTTTTTAATCCAAAGATAGAAAACTAAGCATTTTTACTGTTGTTAGTGACTGTTCAATCAAATTCAAATTTTCTCTTAGTTAAAACATTTCACTTTGATCCTGAGGCTACCTTCCATTAACTGAAAGCGAGGTTATGTTGATGACGGTAGGGAACAAAGCTAAGTTTTAGTTTTCGGTGTTATTCCAAAAGATTGATGCCAACAAAACAAAACAAAACAAAACAAGAAGATCCTGCTGACCTTTGCTACTCTTACACACTGCTGGAATGTCATGTAACCAGCTCAGGTTTCTACTTAACTCAATAGAGCCTTGAGAGAAAAAAAAAGAGTTCTAGAATTGCTTTCTCATCCAGATGCACAAATGCTTTGAAATTAAGTGTATTGTTATCAATGTTAATTTCACAAGGAACTAACTGCACCAAAAACTAAGTGCCCTTCATATGTGCTAAGCAGGTCTGCTGACTGAAGTCCCATGCACGTCTTTGAGGTAGATCTTCTACCTCCAACTGGCCATGGCTTTGAGCCACATGTTCCACTGAAAAACGTTTTCTCTGAATTCCCAAACTGCATGGTAATAAGGCCCCTGGAACTCACGCTTGTAGCTTAGTTCACAGAAAATTTTTGTCTTATATTAACAAAAGAAAATGTCATTAGCTTCTATTTATTGAGGACAGTGTGTTTGGTTCTTCATACGGTGTATATGAAACCTCTGTCCAGTGATGTTCCAAGTGGAGAGTGGACAGTTTGCATTCAGGGGACATCTGGCCATGTCCAGGGACATTTTGTTCATCATAGTTGGGATGGGAGTAGTGGACGGAGGCCAGAATGCTGCTTACATGAATGTCCTGTCAGAACACAGAATCATTCAGCCTAAAATGCTGATCATAACAAGTGTAAGAAACACAGTCCCATGTCCCATCAAAATTCTACAGGGGGGTTACCAGGAGGATAATTTAGCCATTGAGAATTCTGAGGCTCAGCAACTTCCAAACTTCAGTAAATGGAGCTAGAACAGGAATTCAAACCAGACAGATACCCTAGACCAAATATTTGCCTTAACTTAGGTCCTCAGTTCAAACATAATTCACGGAGACAAACGTAAAGATACACATTTCAAAGGAAATTTTAGTTACTTCCTAGCCTTCCCAATTGTACACTGGTAGGGGAAAGGGAGATTTTCCAATGTTTAGAAACAAGCAAAAAGCAAAAACAGATTATTTGTCTATATCAGCTTTAATTTTAATATGTATGCTTTAGTTATCATGTATGTCCACATTTGCTTAAACATGGACAAGTAAATGAACAGAAATCAAGAAACTGAGAAGAGCTGTCATCTTTGGTGGGAACTAAGCTAGAAGGTTGGAGTACAAACATGAGGAAGAGATTTTAACTGGCTTCTTTTTATAATTTTGTTATTCCATAGGTTTAATCTTTACCCACATGGCCATGGTGCAGAATGAGTCCTTGTAAGCCCGTCATGGTGAACCCCTAGGCTAGTCACAGTCCAGCTGCTAACCAGACAGAGGGTTTTCACCAACCTCAGCTAAGTAAGGAAGGTATTCCCCTTCCACATATACCTCCCAGTTAAGCCTTCAAGCTGGGGTCACTGGGGCAGGTACATAGCAAAGGAACAAAAAAGAGTTCAGTACAGCTGAAGAGTAAAGTAGAAATATTGGGATGAAGCTGCCCTTAGAAGAGCCAAGTGCACACACTCCATGACCACGCCCCGCATAGCAGGAAGACTCCAAGGCTGAGCAGGCAGCTGGGCGGGAGTAAGGGCAGGGGATCACAAGCACATCAGCAGATGGGAACACTGATGCCAGGCCCAGGCCCGGGCCCGAGGGTCTTACCATTTTCCACAGTGGTAAAGATGCTCTTCAGAGCAGGGAAATAGCTGCTTTGCCTGGTTCTCAGTATCTTAATCATCTTGAGGACAATAGGAGCTTGAAGCTAAAAGAGAAAATGCTTGAATAAATATATGAACTAGATTATTAAATGAATGTATTCTCTAGGAATGTATTTACATAATATTCCACTAACACAATATGCAGGGTTTTTTCTTAATTTTATTTATTTTGTGTGTATATGTAAGAGCATGTATGTGTAGTGGTCAGAGGTCATCTTGTGGGTGTCACTTAATGTGGATAATGGGGTTGAGCTCAGGTCATTAGGCTTGGTGACAAGAGTCTTTATCTGTTGAGCCATCTCACTGGCCCCTATGCACAGTATATGATACTCAAAGGCATATATTTTCAATCTGAAAATAATTTTTAAAATACATTTTTTCACAAGCTTCTATTTTATATTGCATTTAGTTTTTCCAAAAAGTTTGTTCACACATGTTATATATGAAAACTATCAATAATCAATTTCAAAAAATCTCCAACCAAGGAACATGTGAATGAACATGATACTTTTTAGAGGATTATAGTACATTGATAGCAAGCACCCACAGAGGAACAAAGTCCGTTCTTCCAAAGCTCAGCAAGACCCCACTTCTCCCCAAATCAATTAAACTGGCCACAGTAATTAAATCTTGCCATCTTTAGCATTTCTCCCAGGGAACAACTCATTTCCCACTGCCACAAAATACATCCAACCATCTAAAATGCTGTCAAAATATCCTCATGAAGACAAAGATCACTTTCATTTCTCATTAATTTAAAAAAATACATAGCCTACAGACAGCACTGTGGAGTGAGAAAATATCAGGCCACTAAATCACATGAAGAATGGTAGACCTTTAAAATGACTGGGGAGCGATGCTCCAGAGACCTCATCCTAGAGTTAGCTCTGCTAATTCCACTGAGAAACAATTTCTACCACTCTCTACTCACTTGATGGTAAGTGCATTTCAGATTATCCCTCCTCATAGCCCAGAAGTCCAGCTCACTCTGAGGAGTCAGGTGGCAGCCACTCAGCAGAGGCTGTGCTGAATCTTTCTCTACAAGTTCTTGGATCTGGTGTGACCACTTAATAACCACAGATTCAATTGCATGGAGTATTCTCCGTTCATCTGATGGTAGTCTGCAAATATCAAATGATTAAAAAGGAGTTCAAAGGTGACTTTATCTAAATAAAGATAGGGTATGAACTTTGATAGTTATTGAACTATTAGAAATAAACTAGTTTTCTAAATAGAAATCCTTCAAAATCCATTATTTTCATGCTTCTGATTGGAGTTTGGCATCATTGTATTCTGTGTTTAGCATGCCTCTAAAGTTTAAAAAAATGATAAAATGAAAATGTATCAGAGGAGTGCTCAGCCACAAATGGGACATCTTTATCACCCCCTTCCAAGGCTCAGGGTCCATTGCAGAAAAAGGGGTAGAAAGATTTTAAGAGCCAGAGGTCAAGGTGGACCAAGTGAAACTGTCTTCTGGATATAACAGGATCACTGTACTCATGAACTCATAGCAGCTGTGGTTACCTGCACAACACAAGATCAAGCTGGTCAACATCCTAGTATGGCGGGGGGAGGGGGGAACACGACGACTCAGGGCCTCCCCAACCCTAACTGTAAAACTATTGACAGTTGATGGTTTCTGGAGAGAATCAGTTTGAAAGGTGTGGCCCCTGGTAGGTAGACTATATGCCACTGGATGTCTCCTTACCCCTGAGTGCATAGGTAATACAAATTGGATTTGGTGGGTTATTTTTTTAAAAAAGAAAAAAGGACCAGAAGTTGAGAGGGGATGAGGAGATAGGTAGTGGATGGGCCTAGGATGACTTACAGAGAGGAGGGGGTGAATATGATCAAAATACAGCATATGAAATTCTCAAATAAGCAATAAAAATATTATATTTAAAAATGGATTAAGAGTTTCCATATCCTTAAAAACCACTTTTTCTAAAAGAATATTGCTGAGATTATGACAATTGCCAGTTTTCCTTAGAAAGTATACTCTTGGGGCTGGAGAGATGGCTCAGTGGTTAAGAGCACTGACTGCTCTTGCAGAGGACCCAGGTTCGAGTCCCAGCACCCATATGGCGGCTACAAACCACCCTTAACTCCAGTTCCAGGAAAATCCACTGCCCTCTTCTGACCTCCACAGCACTGCACAGCATGGGCACACTCACATACATGCAGGCAATATATTCATACACATAAAATAAAAATAATAAATAAAATATTTTTTTAAAAAAGAAAGTATACTCTTAGGCTGTGGGGTAGTGTGGGGGACAGAGTGCTTGCCTATCATGACTAAGCCTTGGGTTTGATCCTTAGCACCACATAAACCAAGTGTGATGGTGGATGCCAATAATCTCAGCACTATGGAAGTGGATGCAGGAACATCAGAAATTAAAGGTCACCCCTTGGGTTCATAGCAAGTTCAAGGCCAGCCTGGCTACATGAGACCTTGTTTTTAAAAATACTCTTAAAGGAAATAATACACATTTTAAAACTATGTGTTGTTAAGAGCAATTCTCTCTTTCACTAATAGTTATAGGGTGTGACACTTAGAGTGATGCTAGGGATGCTAGTTGTCCATTTGAACATGCTGTATGTACCACAGGGCTACCTACCTGGTCTCTGAATAATTCTTATCCAAGTCAATATTCTCTGCAATAGTGGGAATTGGTAGAAGAGTTCTTCTAGACATCTTTCCCCTAAAAATGTGCATCTTATTTTTCATGACTTCAATGTGATATTCCACGTCTTGTGACATAAAACTCGACCATGATTTATGATTGTTCTTATTAGAAAGAATTGGTACTAATACCTACAGAAAGAGCAATGTTTTAGGAATTTGTAGACAATGAGCACCTTCAAAGATTTTCTTGTCATACAAAATTTCCTAGTCAGCAAAACCACTAAATTCATAGATATTCTAGATGGCATGCAGTCTACAGAGATGACAAAGTCAGTGGACCATATACAGTTAATCACTGAGATGCAGGCTCTGACAAAATGGAAACCTGATGCTGCTCATACATTCATTTTCCCATTCACCAAGCATTTCCTGGAGCTCCCAATAACTCAAAGTCTGTCGGAAATAAGTGAAGTTGTAATAAGTAAACTTTCTTAACTGCAAGTTGAGCATGTTGGCAGGTGTACTGATGCAAACAATCTTTCTGAATCACATGAAGCCTAGGCGAGAACAATTTTCTCCAGCTGGGTGGCTTCCCAGTGGATCAAAGTGGATAGTCAGAAAGGTATTTATTCAGCCACGGGTTCCCTTTCAGAACTCCTTTCCCACTACATGGGGAGCATCAGTAAAACCATGTATATGAAAACCCTAAAAAAATTTTGTTGCTGGGCTGGGTAGATGACTCAATGGATAAAGCATGAGGACCTGAGTTTGAATCCCCAGAATCCATGGACAATTGAATGTGGTAATGCGACCCTGTAATCCCAGAATGCCATGACAAGATGAGAGGCAGAGACAGAGAACCTGTAGAAGCTCAAGTATCAGCTAGCCTGGCATACAAGCTGAACAAGAGACCCCACCTCAAAGGTAGGTGAGGACCAACACCTGAGGTGGTCCTCATCTACACACGTATTGTGGCCTGTGCATGTTCACACTGAGATAAAAAATGAACATTCATGGGTGCTTACACACACACACAAAATAAATAAATAAATAACACACTAAATAAATAAATAAATAAATAAATAAATAAATAAATAAATAAATAAATAAATAAATAAATAAAATAAAGATATTATTACATTCCCAGAACCTAGCACATATTATAAAATTAATAACGGCATGTTGAATCACTGCAGTTAGTCTCTTCTTGCCATCCCACTCCTTCCCAATATCTCTCCATTTTAAACATTTTTCACTTTTTTGATATAATGTGCCCAACTTATAAGCATTACACTGTAAAATTACCATTAGCTAAAATGCAAGAAATAGCTATCCTACCTCTTTAAAGTTTATGACATAAACTATCTACAATACTTAGGGGATCAGAAGTAGCTCTGATTTCAGATTTACTTTTTGAGAATTTGGAGTATTTATATGTATACAATGAGGTGTCTTAGTATCGGCAACCAACTCTAAATATGAAGTTTATTTTAATATATACTATATACATATACATATATATCTGGAAAGTAATTTTATACACTAGTTCAGTAACTTGGTCCATGAAACAAAGTTCTTTAGTAAAGAATTTTCTAGTTGTAGCATCACATTGGCACTCAAAAAGTCACAGATTTTGGAGCAGTTCAGATTTTCAAATTTTGGATTAGAGGTGTTCAACTTTCAGAATCTTCTAGTAAACTAAAAATAAACTGAAAATTCACTTTGGTGTTCAAATGATGCTGAAAGGAATCTCTCCAAATGGTATTATGATCATCATTTCCCGAACAATGCCCACTCCATGTTGAACTGCAGCATGATAATTAGCTGTCTCTATACTCGATGAGCTGGGTGGGTGGGAGAGGCCCCAGAAGCTGTGCCCTTCCAAGTGAGTGCCATAATTAGCAGCCCATTCTGAGTATGAAAACATGGACTACATACCTGCATCTTAGACTAAAGGCTATTAGAAATCCCTTGCCAAAGAAGTTATTTGGTTTGCGTCTGTATAGAGCCAAGGCAGAACAGTTGCAATGGTCTGAATATTTATGTCTTCTCCCAATACACATGCTGGAATCTTAGCCTTTAAGTTAATGGCATTAGGAGGCACTGCCACTGGCAGATGATTAGGCCACCTAAGGAATGGGACTGATGCTTTTACAGAATTGTTTCAAGGGAGCTTATTTGTTCCTTTCACCATGAGAGTACATGGCTAGAAGGCACCAACCTGGAACTTGGAAGCAAACCTTCCCCAGAAATTCAAATTTGCCAGCAATTTGGTCTCCGATTTCCAAATTTTGGAGCTAGATTCTGCAGTTAATGAGAGGTAAACTCTGTTGTTCACAGGGCACCCACTCTACAGCATTTTGTTACAGCAGCTCCAGCTAAATCATCAAGCATTGCATTCCAGAAAACAGCAGGCTGACTGACAAAATCGGGGGTGGGGGGAGGACAGTTCAGGGTGCATGGTACTCAGGGGAAACTCATCCCCAAAAGAAATGACAATAATCAGGAAGAACGTGGCTAGGGGAATGAAGAGCTTTAAAAGCCACACTAGATTAGCCTCCATGGGTTGAACACACACAAACCACAGAAGGAAACTACCCTCTAGATAAATCCCGAGGGACAACTAGACCTAGAAGTCAGGTGATGTTGGCTTTAACAGTCCTAATTTACTGGTCACTGTTTCACAATCTCCCTCTGTTTACTAGTCTATGACATGGCCAACTTTTCCAAAAACTTAATTTTTGTTGTTGTTGTTTTTGGTCTTTTTGAGACATGGTCTTCCCGTAGCCACAGCTAGCCTGGAACTCACTAAATGCACCAGCCTGGCTTAGATCTCACAGAGATCTGCCTGCCTCTACCTCCTGAGTACTGGAGTTAATGGTGTGTGACACCATGCCCAGTGAAAACTTAATGTTTGTGTCATGAATGCTAGGTAAAATTGTAAAATTCTGAGCTACAAGCTTTGGAAAACAGTAATTCAAGTCGAACAGCTAAAGTATCTGTACATATTAGTTTGCTTTTCTGTTGTGATAAAACACTGACCAAACCAACTGCAAGAAAGATCAGAGGAATTTGGAAGTTTTCTATTATCTTTTGTAGAGCACAGCTGGGAAAGTAAGAGTCCCACCAAGTACCACTTGTCCTACCAAGTCCCACCTAATGGTAGACTAGGCTCAAATCATAACCAAATGCTTTCAAACTCTGCTTAGCATCAAACTCAGATTCCATGTAGTAAAAACTTTCTGAGCACCTCTTCACATTCAAATTTCTCAAGTACTGTGCTAGAAGCTTTAGTTGTCAACTTGACACCTGGGTAAAGGGAATCTCCATTGAGAACTATCTCCATTGGATTGTTGAGGGATGTGAGAGGACCCAGCCTATTGAGAGCTCGGCCACCCCTGGGCAGGTGGTCTTGTGTTGTCTAAGAAAGCAGACTGAGCACAAGCCAGGGGAGCAAGCCAGTACACAGTGTGCTTCCATGCTCTGTGCTTTTGCCCCTGCCTTCAGGTTCCAGCTCTCTGAATGCCTACCTTGGCCTGCCTCAGTGATGAACTGTGACCTGGGAAGGTAAGATAAAATAAATCCTTTCCTCCCCAAGTTGGTTTTGGTTAGTGTTTTTTTCACAGCAATAGAGACTAGAACAAGTACCAGTGACAGAAAACCCTCTCCTATGATTGGCTAAAATCAAAGGGAAGGAGACCTAAGGACAGTTCTGAAGTCAGGGGCAGAGACTTGGCTAGCATAAGGACAGCAAGAACATACCTCTTTCCAGGAAGACAGCAAAAAAGAGGCAGAAAGGAGAAGAGAAGTGATACAGGGAGACTGGTAGATCATGACTAACAACACGATAGCACTATTTCCTGAAGTAAACATGGCCTTGGCAAGACCACATCGATTACTGAGGTCTAACTGAGCGATCAGACTGAGAATTGACCTTCAAAACCAATGCCCAGCCCCATGCTTCCCAATGACTGCTGCACATGGGGATCATCTGGAATCTTGAACTACTCCAGCCTAGCTCCCACCCCAGAAGTTCTGAATTAACCAGCCGAAGGTGTGCCTTAGGCATTGGTATGTTCTAATGTTGCCCCACCACCACCACCAGAGTCTAATGTCCAGCAAAGTTTGAAAAACACAACCCTAGGGGCTGGAGAGATGGCTCAATGGTTAATAGCACTGACCGCTCTTGCAGAGGACCCAGGTTCGATTCCCAGCACCCACATGGTGGCCACAAACCATCCTTAACTCCAGCTCCAGGGGAATCAAAAACCTTCTTCTGACCTCCGCAGCATTGCACAACACGGGTGCCCTCACATACATACAGGCAATACAGTCATACACATAAAATAAAAATAATAAATTTTTTTTAAAAAAAGAAAAACACCACTCTAGTTTCATGGAGTCTGGCCATTTGGTGTGTTCCTTCAAAATGTCTGGCAACAGATAGCATCTCAGATACCACCCTAAGCCCAGGCTGACTGAGTCACTCTGAGCTGACAAAATGTCCAGGTGGTTCTCATACATGTTAAGGTGCCTCTGACCATGGCTTAAGAGAGCATTTCTCAGATTTCAGGGAGTGGGTTAGTCAGTTTGCTGTTACTGTGACAAAATCCCTAAGGTAAAGGAGGAACAGTTTCTTTTGACTCATAGTTTCTCAAGTTTCAGTCCATAGTGGTTGGCCCTGTCACACTCAGGCCTGTGGCAAGGCCTCATATCATCACAAGGCTGGAAGGCAAGGGAGCCACTTGCCTCATGGCAACCAGGAAGCAGAGAAAGGAAGGGGCTAGGGTAGTTCTAAATACCCAAGGGCATACCCTCAGCGACCTAATTTCCTTTTAAAAGACCATGCCTCTTAAAGGCTCCAACACCTCCCAAAGCTGAAGAACAAACCTTTATACACACACCAGACTCACACTATACCAAAGGAAAAGAGAATTTTAAAGCAATTTTTTAATTTATTTTTATTTTATGTGTATGAATGTTTTGCCTGCATGTGCACCTGTGTCATGCAGTGCCCAAGGAGGACAGAAGAGGGCATCAGATTCCCCTGGAACTGGAGTTATGGAGGATTGTTAGCCACCATGTGGGTGCTGGAATTCGAACCCAGGGCTTCTGCAAGAACAGCCAGTGTTCTTAACTGCTGAGCCATCTCTCTCCAGCCCCCAAACAATTTTTTAATTCCATCACGTCTATTTTCTGACATAAGTGAAACTCAGCTTAACTGCTAGTTTCTAACGGAAACTTCAAAAAACAGATGATGCCAATTTCCAAAATGTACATTTCTCCCTATTCTGAATGTAACACTTAAAACTTATAGCTCAACATTAGGCATTGTGGTGCACACCTTTAATCCTAGCACTTGGGAGGCTAAGGTAGGCAGATCTCTGTGAGATGAGGCCAGCTTGGTCAATTTAGTGAGTTCTAGGCAGGCTGAGACTAGGGAGACCCTGTCCAAAACAAACAAACAACAACAACAACAACAAAAAATTTATAGCTCAGTGACAAAACATAGTAGGTTCAAGTTGGCTTACATGTACTTCCAGTGTTTTAAAAGGAGGAAAGGAAAGGAGGGAGACAGGAAGGGAGAACAGATTTGACAAGTGATACCTATTTAGTATTAGTGTCAGTATCATCAGTGCATTTGAGAAACAAACTAAATACTATTACTCCATACACTTGGCCAAACAGATGGCTAGATTCTACAAGCTCTTCTCTTTAAATAGCCAGATAGGTCTCAACTAATCCCAAGTGACTGGAGATAGTAAAGACAGGCTAGTACCTCATCGAGAAAAGCAGTCACATGTGGAAGAGTCAGCGCAGGTAATTCTCCAAATAAAACTGTTCTGGAGAAATCACTTTCTCCTGCGCTCTCAGTTATCTTCTTGACAAAATAAACAAGCTTGTGTTTTGCATCTCTTGGAATCTGAAACAAGAGCAAGATAATTAGTCTGAGTTCACTACAGAGTTTCTTTGTTAAACGGGCAGGATTTGCTGCATCCCACCTGAAGTCAGACTGCCAACAGAAGAAGCAAAACCTGGCATCTTGCCCATGTTTACAAACTAGGTTGGTCTGCTGTTCTTCCCTGCCCTGTGAGAGGGATGATTCCCTGTTCTCTTTAGAAATATCACTGTTAAAGACATGTCAGTTACACTAGATCAGCATATACCATAAAAATTCCATAACCAGCTGGAGAAATGGCTCAACAGTTAAGAGCACTGACTGATCTTGCAGAAGACCTGGGCTTCAGCACCTACATGGCAGTTAACAACTGTCCTTGACTCCAGTTCCAGTAAATCTAACATAGTGCATGACACAGGTGTACTTACTTACATGCAGGCAAAACACTAATAAACATAAAATAAAAATATTTTTAAATCCCATAACCCAAACCAAATATGAGAATGTAAAACGTTTCCATCTTCACAATGATTTTTTTGAATAATATTCTCTTGTTTGGAAATAAGTCAAACGATGATAACAGCCAGGCAGAAGGGGTTAATTTGCATTTCTGTCTTCAAGGCAAAGAATGGAAGTTTTTAACCAAGATATTTGGCATTTCCACAACCGTTGGGTCACTCTCACAAATATTACACTATTTAGCTTAGCTAAACGTTCTGTTGTCTTTAGGAGAGTACCAAAACATAGATTTAAAATTTTTTTTTTAATTTTATGTGTATATTGCCTGTATGTATGTGAATGCACCCATGTCGTGGGATCCCCTGAAACTGGAGTTAAGGACGGTTCTTAGCTGTCATGTGGGTGCTGGCAATCGAACCTGGGTCCTCTGCAAGAGCAGTCAGTGCTCTTAACTGCTGAGCCGTCTCTCCAGCCCCCAAAACATAGATTTTTAAACCTCAAAACTGTAATGCAGCCTTCCTGTTATTTAATAATCGCTCTGGGAGAGCCAGCTTCCCGCCCATCCTAATGACCACATCTAGGGTGATGGTACCACTTCACAGCGTTTAGCTGAGGCACAGTACTACAGAAAGAGCGCAGTTGACAAGAAATCCAAATTCAAATACGAAAGGAAGGGAAAGGAAACAGAGGAGAAACAGATAATGTTTGGTAAGCACCGAGTGTGTGCAGATTACCGGGCTACTCCCGCACCTCTTCCCTTTTATAATTCTATTATGAACTCTCCATCAGTTTTAAAGTAAAACACATCAGAGAACTGATCATTTTCAAAGTTCTATTGATGTGTAACTTTCCAGAGTACACCTCGTGTACAAAGATGTGGGCTACTTTACACGGAAAGCAAGAATCTGCAATTTAATGACTATGATAATGCGCCCTGAAATCGCTAATAATCTACTAATTTATTTAATACAGATGTTACTCCGGTCTTTTAAGTGACACAAGCCAGTCAATTTTTAAGAACTCAAGTATTTCTTCTCATTAGGGCAGTGTAGTTGATAGATAGTGAAGTTAAATACCTAAGCCACAGGGGCTCTGCCAAGCACTTCGTTGTTCTTTAAAGGATATGGTTCCAGAGTCCCCAGGGGAAACTGAAACGAAAGTTATTTGGCCCAGAGAACCCACCCAGCGTGGAACACCCAGGTCGACCACCACCCGTCCTTTCTAGAAAACCAATCTAAGGCCGCTGGACCACAGAACTAGGGAGAGGTCTTCTGGACTCCGCAAATTTCAAGTTTAAGCCCCCAGTGTCACCCCCCTCCCCACCCCCCGGAACCCGGAGAGGTGGCGGGGCTGGTCCCTCTCCCTGTCCGCCTTACCTCCCTGGAGGCCACCAGCCGCCCGGCAGCCGGAACACCAACCACCAGACAGTCGGGACTCGTGCTCTCCAGAAAGTCCCCCAAGACCTGCCGGTGGTCCTCGCTCTCCAGGTACTGGCTCCACGTCTCCTCTCGCAAAGCCAGCGCCTGGCTCACGAGGCCGCCCAGGAAGCGCACCCGCGGGTCCAGAGAGAAGCGCTGCGCTCTCCGCGCAGCCGCAGCCTCCGGGTCCTCCTCCTCCTCCTCTTCCTCGTCCTCCAGCTCCGTGGGACGGAGGCGCACAGTCCCTTCCACTCTGGCTGCCATCCCGTACGTCCGAGGGGAGGCGAGAGAGCGGCCGGCTCCTGGCGAGGACACCCTTAGCAGCGCACCCCTGGAAGTGCCCACCTTTCCTCTGCGACCTGCAACCCGCGTATTCGCAGGACTAGCGCACCTTGCGAGGTCGGCAGACGAACCTAGGGCCTGGGACCGCAGTGCGTCCTGTTGCCCGAGAGACGGCAGCCCCGCCTCGGCCCTGGACTGGGGGCGGAGTGAGCACCTCACTCACCCTAGGATCAGGCTGGGAGGTACCGCCCCCGCCAGCCAGAGCTACTGCTTGTGCACTAGCCACTTCCCTCCACACCTTCGCCTTCTGGACATCTAGGGACGCTCAGAGATGGCCCAGGACTGGGTAACTAATCTCAATTAAGCTGTGCTGTCTTGCGTTAAACTTCCTGTTAAATGCATCACCCTGCTTAGTTCATGTAATAGGAAAGTCTAGGCTCTGAGTGCTCTAAGTTTAATTGTGGGTGAGGGACCAAATAAGCCCCGAGGTAGTTAAGTAACAGGAAATGCCAGAACCTGGATCCGTTGAAAGCTTTGATTTCTCTTGTCTGCGATTGTCCACTCAACTTTCCTAGTTGTCAAAGGTCAAAATCTAGTCCCATCCTCAGCCCCGAAAGAGAATGCAAAGCACTTTCCATAAACTCCAAAATGCTCCACAAATCTCTAGCATTTTTCAACTCAGTGGGTTGGGGGATGGTGAATCAAGACAGAAGAGTAAAAGATGGAAAGCAATCGGTCTGGGGATGTAGCTAGCCTGCTTTGCATACCGAGTTTTAGGCTAGCCAGGGTCATATGATGATACCTTGTCTCAAAAAAAATAAATAAATAAAATGGAAATCCATATCCAGGCACAGTGGCAAGAGCCTTTAATCCCAGCCCTTGGGAGGCAAAGGCAAGTGGATCTCTGTGAGACTGAGGTCAACCTGGTCCACATAGTGACTTCCAGGAAGGCTGGGACTAGGGAGACCCTGTCCAAAAAAAAGAAATCCATAAACCACTTCCAGTTTTTTCCAGAAAAATTTTGAACAATAATGCTAACAGTAAAGTAAGAAATGGAGATTGAAATGTAGCAATGTAGCAAAGCTATATTCAACTCATTAATGAGATTCCCCAGAATAGTGACGTCCCTGTGGAGCTGTGGGAGCAATACTACTGGATTAGATGCAGTATTCATTAGACCAATATAATCTGTTACTTGGTTTGCTTTTTTCTGTCAGAATAATTTATTTTTCAGAAAGAATTTACATCTCTAATGAACAAAAATCTATGAATAAAAACATAACTTCACAGAGTTTGGGTCTTTCATCACTAATAGATAATGAATCCATTTCTCTAGATAATTAATGTTTCAATAGAATGAATACAGTGCTCTCAAAGGGCACACTGCCTTTTCTTAGTCCTAAATTTTAAATAATTTTTTCTCAATATTCTATCAAGTACCATATAAAATATCAGTCACATACCATGATGAATTCACCTATTGTTTCAAAACATGTTTATTGAAGAGCTATAGAGTGCCCAACTGTACTAGGTGCTAGGAGCACACCAGAGTATGCAACTAAGTTTCTGTTGTCATGTTGCTAATTTAAGCTAGATTTACAATGGCTAGACAGATGCTATCCTGAATGGTTTGCCTTTTGTGGTGGTTTGAATGAGAACTGCTCTCCATAGGCTCAGGTATTTGAGCACTTAGTCCTCAGTTGGTGGTGCTGTTTGGGGAGGCTATAGAACCCTTCAAAGTTTATAGCCTCAATCCACTTCCAGTTTACTCTCTGCTTCATCTTTGCAGTTGAAGATGTGATCAGCCAGCTTCCTGCTCTAGCTACCTGCTGCCAGGAACCATTATAGACTCTCCCTCTGGAAGCCAAATAAGTTGCTTCCAATCATGGTATTTTATTACAGCAACAAAAAGTAACTCATACACCTTCCATTTCTACTGGGTGCTAGGTAGATGCTTCACTGGACTAGCTGCTGGTAAGTTGTTCTTGCTCAAGTAAATAACCTTCCACTCATGCTCATGCAAACAACCCTAATTAAATGCAGAGGGGCCTGGGCAAGCTACTTGTCTTCTAGGTGCCTCAGTTTCCTCATCTGAAAGAGGAATAACTTATTTTTCAACAAATATTCCCTCATCAGCCCTCTCATGAGAAGAGTAAACTTTAATGTTTACTGAAATTCTGCTTGGTTGTGGGACCTGCTTCAGTTAATGGGATGTGAGCCAGACATAACACAAGCTTGGGATGGCCCTGTGTCCTCCTGTCTTGTGCCTCTGCTGTGGTCATGAGGAGAACATTCCCAGAGAGCCCACTGGTGCAAGGAGCCAACCTGGGCTAGGTTTGGAGGCGTTATCCTCTCTTATACTCCTCCTACTCCCACTGAGCCCTTCTTCGTACTGTCTCCCTCCTACTCTAATGTCTTCTTTTTCCGTGCCCCTCTGCATTTAATTAGGGTTGTTTGCATGAGCATAAGTGGAAGGTTATTTACTTGAGCAAGAACAACTTACCAGCAGCTAGTCCACTAACAGATCTGACTCCCCCTCTTCCAGCATCCATTAACTGTCTATAGCTCCTCAAGGAGGGGTAGCGCATCATGAGACCCTCCCTTATCCACAATGGAATGTCGATGGGCCCAGTCTTGTGCGAGTCTTGTGCTAGTAACCAAACCATTATGCTGTGGGTTTGTGGGTGCAGCAGCCATGTCATGTCCAGAAGACAGTGTTTCATAGCACTCCTTCCAATACCACTTTTAACAGTCTTTCAGCACCACAATGTTCCCTGAACCTGAGGCTAGGGGATGGAGGTGATATAGACGTTCCATTTAGGGCTGAGCACTGGACCTGTTCTCAGCACGCTAACTACTTATAAATCTCTATATTAACCATTTCCCATTGTAAATAGAAGCCTCTCTGACTGAGGCTGAAAGCAGCACTGAATTATGGGTATGAATAGATATTTAGAAGGCAGTTTGACACATCCATTTAGCAAAACAACAGTAGTAGAGTCCACTCCCCAAGGGCCTACGATCCCCCAGAAATGGGCTTTTGACCAGGTTTATAGTACCAAATATGAACTCCCTCCTGTGGAGTGGACCTCAGATCCAATCAGACAGTAGTTGGTTCTCCTCGTAACAGTCATGATACTATTCCACCAGTGGGAACATCTTCCCTGGAGGTTAGTAATGTAGTTCACAGAGTTTAAAGATGGCTAAGACTATTGATGACTTTTCTCTTCCAGTGGCTGGCATAAGACCTTCCAGCATCTTGAAAGACAGGCAGGAAGAAGGAAGCTTATAACTCAGTTCTAGCTTGGTGTCTTTATGCACCGCAACCGAAGTGTGCGGTATCTTCAGAATTATATCTTACCTATTTCTAGTGATCAACTGAGAGAAATGGAAATAACCTGTTTTGTTGGGGGTGGGGCCTTCTGGGGCCTTACCAACCAACAGTTCATAGAGAGGTATCCTAAACCTGGCACTGGGAGTTTTGCTGAGTAGCCTATAGCTTTTAGAAGCAGCATATTCATGTATGCAGGGCACCTCCCTTCACGTTTTGTAAATTATATTTTTAAGTGAATTTACAAAGTAGTGAGTTTCCACAAGATTTTTTGGGTCCATTTTTAGTTTGGGTTAACCTCTTCCCTACTCTCTCCTCTCTTCTATCTCCCCAACCCTCATGTCCATTTTAACATTTCCACCACCAGTATTCCACCCCCTATACTTTCCTTTCACGTGGGTTCTACTTCTCCCTCCCTCCCTCAAGGCCTCTTATACTACCCCTCACACAGACCCTTCCTAGCTTCTTGGCCTCCACAGACACTCCAAAAATAACCACACAATAATTCAAGGCTAGAATCCACTCATTGTCGAGTAGTGTGTTGTTTAATCTCCTTGAGTTTGTGTATGCCTTGAACTTCTCTTGCAGTTCATCTGTAGCCTTATTATACTGTGATCAGATAGAACACAAAGAATTATTTCAATTTTCTATATTTGTTTAAACTTGCTTTATGACCTAATATAATATCTATTTTAGAGGAGATTCCATGTGCTGTTGAGAATGTGTACTCTGTAGTGTTTAAATGGAATGTTCTGTAGACGTCTGTTAGATTCATTTGATCTATGATCTCATTTAATGCATCTGTTTTGCTTTGGTTTGGGGGGGGTGTTTGCTCTTTGGTTGAGATAAACTGTCAGTTGGTAAGAGTTGGATATTGTAATCATGAACTACTATTGTGATGTGGTTATCTATGAATTTACATCTAGTAGTATGTGTTTTATGAAATTGGGTGCACCCATGTTCAAGACCTATCTAGTTAGAATTGTAATGTCCTCTTGATGGATTCAGCATGATGTGACCATCTTTATCTTTTCTTACTAACTTTCATTTGAAATCCGTTTTTGTCAGATGTTAGAACAGTGATACTTAATGTTTCCTAGATCTATTTGCTTGGAATAATTCATCCTAAGATGGTGTCTGTCTTCTGTGGTGAGGTGCATGTCTGGGAGGCAACAAATAGATAGGCCCTGCTGTTTGATCCAACTACTAGTCTTTGTCTTTTGACCTGGGGGATTGAAAACATTAATATTCAGAGCTACTATTGAAAGGTTTGAATTGATTCCTGATGATTTGTTGATTTTTGTTGTGTTTACTAGTCTCTTTTTCTCTTGCTTAACAATAATTCTAGCATTGTTTATTCTTTCCTGTGGCCTCTGAGAATATTGTTTTCTCTTCATTCCAAAGGATCCCTTCACGTATAATCTGTAGAACAGACTTAGGGGTCATAAATTCTTTTTTTTTTTTTTTTATCATGGAAAGTTTGTTTTTTCCCTCCCTCAAATGTGAGAGATAGTGCTAGGTATTAGTTTGGGTTGGCAGTTGTTTTCTTTCAGCACTTGAAATACATCCTTCCAGGTGCTTCCTGGGCTTTAAAGTGCCAGCTGACAAGTCTGCTGCTGTTCTAATGAGCCTGCCTGTGTATGTGACTTGCTGTTCCTCTCTTGACACTTTCAATATACTCTTTGTTCTGTATATTCAGTGTTTTAACTCTAATATAGTGAGGAGAGGTTCTTTTCTGGTCCTGTCTGTTTGGTATGCTAAATGCTTCCCCTATCTAACTTGGCATCTCTTTCCCTAACTCTAAGTAATATTTGGTTATGGCTCTTTTGAAAATATTTCCTATGCCTTTAGAATAAGATTCCTTTCCTTCTTCCATGCCTGTTTTCTGTAGATTTGGTATTTTCCCAGTGTCATGTGTATCTTCGAACTCCCACTCAGACCTCATCATTTCATCTTCCCCCTTCTAGGATTGCTCAAGT